TCTTGCAAGAAAATTTGTCGGAAGACCTGCGGCGAAATTGGTTATCTATCTAAAATGACACCTTATTTGATCTACGTAAATTTCATTGCATTTTTGTTTGCTTTTCGTGAGGGCAGCTTGACAGTTCTCGCTATAATAGTTTTAAACAATAGATAATGAAGACGGAATATGTTGAAAACGTTAGTCAAATTAAACAGGCACTTGAAGGGATTAAAATAAAACTTCTTACTACTGCTTGGCTATATATTATAGTATAGAAGAAGGTATTTCAGCCGCCATCTTTGTTTTCACGTCTTCAGGGCATTTCGTCTGCTAACATCTCACAATACTCACTAGTTCTAACACTACCCAAATCAAAATGTTTATACACACCCTTTAAACAACTCTTGGGTTTTGAAGAAGTATAAGAAAGGGTGTTTAAATGTCGTAAGATCGTGGCTGTATATGGGTGCATATCTGAAGCAATGAGAACGAATGAATGAATGAATGAATGAATGACTCAATGACACGGGATTTAATGCCATACACACGAATTGGCTAATGAAGACGGCATTCGTCATGCAGTGTGCTATGAGGAAAATCTTGTCCGGACAGCGGCGCTACGGCCTACTCTTTTATCAAATTCCAAGTGTCAATGGTTCTTTAAGGTGCACACCAATGTGAACGCATGACCTCAGTTTTTCATGCCATCCGAACCACTAGACAGCTCTCTTTAGTAGGCCCTTCGTCCTGCACTACCGACAAGGGGAAACCTATGCTATGAAGGAAATTTTTCCCGGGCAGCGGAGCTATGGCCTACTCTTACATTGAATTCCAACTGCCAAGGGTTCTTTTACGTGAACGCCAATGTATACACGGGTCCTCGGTTTTTTGTCCCATCCGAACGACTAGACAGGCCCTGCACCATTGACACGTCGGAAAATCCCGATTAGCTTTCTCGGCCACTACAGCGACCTCCAGGCTAGCGATCCAGCGTCTTACCCACAGATTAAGCGGGTACAGTGATGTATAGTGCTGTCCACATATTCCAGTAAAATGAAACATCACAATAAAATCCATATTTGTATTTCTTTTAATTACAAACAGCTTCTCCTGATCTTAAAATATATAGCCATAACTTAATATGTACATACACATTTGCAGTACACTATAGATGGACTTTTCTAGAAATCTTTATTCTTATTTGTCCGCATGAGAAAACCACCAAATGGTCTTTTATGCACTGGTTTTAATGGTGTTTGTCGATTTCAAGCAACATCTGATTTAATACAGTGTGTTATGAGAATCTTACATTATGGTTTGAAGCAAATGTCACGCCCTGATTCCACCATTCATACACATTTATAAATACAGAAATAAACGCGACCGACAAATCTAATATTTTCTGGATACAGTTCCAAACAGAGTTTCAATATACTAATCCAGGTCTCGAATGGTTACAATTTAAAGATGTCCCCTTGGCAAAATGTCACGTGAGCCGTAATTATTCTTTCTCAAAACCAAAAACTTTAATCAAAGTTTAAAGTATACAATAACTGAATAGATATGACAGCTTAAAGCAAATCAATTGATAATAATAATAATAATAATAATAATAATAATAAAAATTTATATGTTCATTCTACAATGACAAAATCAAAATTCATCAACTCACCTAAACCTGCCCTTACATTTGTCTTTCCTTCATTGTTTCTTTCATGGTCCAAGTCCAGCCATGGTTGCATAAAAATGGACTATCCGGGGTGAATGTAAAAATCCTAAGTGGTTTTAATAACCGCCCTTTCCTCCTAACTTAACGAAGAAATAAAAGCGAAATAGATCATTTTGAACATTAATGTTTGAAACAAAAACACATTTTTCTTCTCATGTTCTTTCTATCAAGCAAAATGAACTCTTCCCCTGTATTGTTATCTGTTAGATTAATTGTATTATGGCTCAGTGCTTTATGACAAACTTGCGCGGTCAAGCATATACAACGGCATATGTGATGGATAATGGCCGAAGACTGTCCATTGTGTAAATAGAAAGAACAAACGAAGGGCGTTAGCTGAAAAGTGTCCAAAATTGTGTCAACTACCAAGTCAAAACAAAATAATTCAAAAGTGTCCAGTGATTCCAGGGAAATTAACATCCAATCTTCGGAAATATCAATTTTTTTAAATGTTGAAAAATAAATGAGTAATAAATGGACAGGTTGTTTTGATTTATTTTCAGTTGCTTAATATATAATGACTACACTTATTATTAATGTATTTTTCATTAATAATGGACAGTGTCTAGAAATAATGGACTGTTTTCATTAATAATGGAGAGTTTTCATTATTAATGGACTGTTTGTTTTAGACAATCCACTCCTCATTTTAATGGATTATAATGGAGGGTTTAACGTCCACTCGACACAAACAAGGTCATTTCGGGACTAACACACGGTTCAATTATATTTCAATAATTCGCTGGTGCGTAGGGATCTTTAGCAGTGGGAGGAAACCTGAGGACCCGGAGAAAACCCACGAGGTTGGACAGGCGAACCTTCTCCTTGTCACGTACAAGGAAACCACGCTAGTTGACTGAATGACAGACCTTATGATGGAACGCGCACGCTCTAACAATTCGGCCATCTACCCCCCCCCCCCCCCTCATGCGTCAGAGGTTGGCCATCACTGTTTTAAACCATAAAAACTGTATTTTGAAAATATTTTCTTTAATTTTTATCTCGATACTAAAATGAGCAAATTGATCAAAAATTCACACAAAACAATATATATCTGCTGTACTAGTATGTCCATACTCTTGATGACGTTAAACATACATTATGCAAGAGCTAAATCTAATTATTGCAAGTCTTTATTTAGGCTTCAGATATCATAGACATTATAAATTAGATCTTTATTTACACAACAAGCACAAAATCAGCTATGTCGACCCACGGATGGCTTGGATTCAGCTTGGAGTTAAACGGGATTTCATTGACTGATTTAATTTTAAATGGCGTCGTGAGCGGAGATTAACCGTTACGTTGATGTCATACTCCCGGATCGAGGCTAAATGGTAGAGTGTACGAAGCGAGACCGCTGTTGAGCGATGCCTTAACAAATGACATCTAAACTATTTAAAGTGCAATAAACTAAACACAGATAATGACAAATTATACAATTCCTGGAGAACGTGTGATGACTAATACAGACGGACAGGTCTTCTGTCTTAATAATATCAATAAAAATATTTTTATTTCCCCAATAGGCACGACGCCACTGGTGTATACCTATAGATTTATCATAATTGTATTATAATATTATGTCCTATATTCAATTGATTTAATGCATGCCCAAAATACAAGTAAGAATGAAAATTTACCCTCTCACTCATTTTGTCCAATTGTTATAAAAATCTAAAATGGTAAAACACAAATTCAGATATGATGACAGCAGACAAAAGACAGCAGAGATTATGTAGGTGGGGTTAACGCCTGTCAATCAAACGATCGGCCATACTAAGAATCGGTGAAGATGGAATTCAACCCCATTTCTAGTCAAAAATTACACTGGTGATAACTATGTTCAGAATAAAGTAATTTGACTGAAAATTTCAATATATTCTTCTTTCATCATCTATTTTTGAACTGTTATAAAAAATCTCCCATAATGTATCTTTAATTACATTGTATCCAATATTGTTATCATAATCTACTAGTTTAATATAGAAATATGTGCATCATATTATTTAACTATGTAGATCTATTGTTTAAATCAATACAACACAGAGTTATAGATATTGATAACCTATATAGTGTATATATCAACATAGTTACGAAACATAATATTTTTAACCCTTTCCAATACATGGTTTGTTTAATATTGATTTTTAACTTGCACCTAGAATGTGTTTTAATAACTACGGTCAGGTGCTGATAGTATGAGAACTTTATGAAAACAAAAATTAGAAGCTTTTTATCATAGTTCATCGGCTTAGACAATGACAAGTAACACTTAGGTTTACTTCCTTTCCCATTAATTTCCACAAGGGTATGTAATAATATCGTTGACGCCTTGAATGCGTCCATTGCAGTAAGGTAGATCATGATGTGTAGCATCTGGCTTGGATGGTGGATGGATAGCAGGCGTGAAAAATTACCCTTTCCTCAAAGTTTCGCAATTCTAAAAAACAAATTAAAACGGGGAGAGGGGCGATATGGGAGCGCATATAAATTGGTCTATTTTTTTATTTTTGTTGGTCATTTATTAACAAATCATACATGATTTTGTAGCTAATCAATTGGACTACGAGATACAAGATAGTTCGTTTCGGGATGCAATGAAAAATGTATAATTTCTATCCTCTAGAAAGAAAACGCCAGTGGATAGTTTTTGAAACCAAAGTAAACCGTACACCCCTATTGAGACGTATTTTCCCCAACAATAAAGTAACTTCCAAAATTTCGGTTGATGTCACCAATATGGACATTTTGCTTTGTGCGGTCAGATTAGATATTTTCAATGTTTGCTTTTCATTACATTCACAAGACAATACGGGTATTACTCTTGGTGGTGGTTTGAGGGGTAGAAAAGAGTGTGGACGGGTAAATAGGTTAAAGGGTTGATTGACAGTTTTGACTATATTGACCAGTCCTTGGATACCTCTGGTATAAGATCATGTTTAACCATCTAGCAGAATTCTTTCTTTAGCAATTTCTGACAGATAATGTTCAGTAGGTGTAGACTATGTATTCAAAGTAGAGTTGGCTAGTTTCAATTTGCATCCCAGCAAAATATTTGCGTGGAGTAATATATATCATATATAAATAATAGCTGTCTGCTGTATCCGACAGGGGGTTGGGTGACTGAATGGTTAGCACGTGCGCGCTGTATCATAAGGTCCTCCCACTGCTGCCGGCTAATATTGGGCTGTGTGAAACATGCTAAAGTCGATTTGAAGCATAATGAAATACGAACAATTATGGTACATATGCGTGTAATAATAAAAAAACAAGTTATTCGAAAATTTCCACAATATTCAGCTTTATTAATTGTAAAAAGAAACAAAAAATATAATTTCAGTCAGAAGATCATATTTTGAAATTCCTGTGACAAGGATTGAGCGATTGAAGTCTATCAAGAACTGTTTCCAGAGCTCCATGGAATGAAATGTATTTTTGGCATACACTCCTGCTAAAATCCACATGCTATTACACTATTGCCCGTAAAGATTATTTTTATCATCTTCTAATATTGGTATCGGTAGCTGGTTTTAACCAAACACAATGAGATTGGTGTAAGCAATCTGCTTATATGATCTGCCCTGCAGAAACTCCTCCACAGGCCAGCACGGGGGCGGGCCTAATAGACTTCAATTAAAATAACTGTACAATGAGTCACAAACTTTAACCTGGTGGCGGCTTATTAAATAACATCAGGTGGCGCTGTATCTCAATCCAATTTGTACTTGATAACGATAAGAGAATACTTGTCGGAACATCGTGCTATGTGTATAAAGCTGTGATTGTTTTCCATATAAATTGTGTTGTGTTTGTCATTTGCCAAGTCACCGACTTGTCTAAGGTACGCAAATATAAATATGATGACAGGTAATTTGTCATTCTCAGGGGACGACTTATAAATGATATACATGGGAATTTGGCATGTTATATTTTATATTGATTATACAAAACCTGACGCGATGGCTGTAACAAGAGACAAATATTATGACTTCTATTTAATGAAATGCTTTACACTGTATGTTCATTTCTTTAGCTGCAATTTCTACTGATTTGACCTTGTTCAGGTCAAGGTCGTACACACCGTTATTGGCTAGCTTTGCGATGTTTTTAAAATGTGCATTAATTAGGGAGACGCATTCAATATTTTTGTTTTTGCACCACGTGGTTAAATGTTCTATTAAAGGTTGGTGTGTTGTGAATTCAAAAAGTGACCACATCACAATCCCTTTAAATGGTTCGCACATTCGTCTAAATGCAGGGGCCATGTTAATCTTAGTTTCGTTGATGGCGGCACAATAAGCATGACGGTTTATTTTGTTTGTTGCGTCTAAATAATATTTGTCATGCAATGTCACGTGCAAATCACGCGTTATATCAGTAGGTTGTAATTCGTGTCCGGTGGTCAAATGCACTTTATTATATATCTGAAGATCTAAAGGTCCAATATCGATGTGCCAATCATATCGGTCTTTTTCAAAATAATACGCATACGTCATAATAATATTGACTGGACTACTGTAGTCCTGGGACACCGCTTTCATAAACGCTTCTTCTATTGTAGACACATTCATGTATTTTATGATATGGTTTCTGCAATTAGTTATCGTGTCTCTCCAAATATACACAGGAAAATACGTCATGAAATCTGATGGCATGGGTTTCCCGACCATCCTCGTGGTTGTTTTGTCCCATCGTCTAACCCAATCATTCACAAAAGTATCTTTACCTTTTACACGTAATTTATTGTCATTCATAACGTTATCTCGGGTGACTGGAGTGATAAATTTAGCATCTGTATCAATCCAAGCAACAACTGGAGTTTTAATTAATTTATCCATAAGAAAACTAGAATACAGTTGACGGTTATAACCCTTCGTATCTCCACGCGATGCCGTTAAAACTTTTAGGTTTGGTGGCAAAGGCTCGTAATAAATGCTAAAATTAATACCCATTTTTGTTTGATGTTTTACGAGTCCGGCTGCGAATTCGTGATCCTTAGGATTGTCTTCATCAAGAATGATACCAACATTTCCCAACTGACTGGACCAATATAATGCCGCGCTTCTCAGTAAGGCACAGTAGAAATAATTAAGGATACTGGGGCTTGAAGGCGGTCTGTTGGGGCCAGGGGTACTAGTTAGTCGCACAGTTAATGTCATTTCGGGAACACCATAGAAATCAGAGGCACGTTTAACACCATAGAAATCAGCGACACGTTTAACGGCATCGAAATCAGAAGAACGCTGAACATTGTTCGAGTTTCTGAATTCCACAATATACACGACTGTCGACACAGCAGCTAATACAATGGCTAACCTCTTCCACTTCCCCTTTCTCATTCTGTACCTAAGAAAATAAAATAAATATGTTTGTTAAAAGTCAGCGAATATCTTTATTATTACGCCTACAATTATGTTTACTGGTAACATACCCCCACCCCCACCGACAAATTTTCTGAGAACGGATTTTTAAATTAGTTCATCACCCACCTTCTTTGATCGATATATTTAGATTTAATCGCTAAACGGTTAAATCGTTTTATCACAGTAATCATATTGGGTAAGGGGAGGTAATCTGAATTTAATTGAGAATTGTCTCTCTTGAATAGGCCGTTCTTTTGACGCCACGTTGTCACTCAGCAGCATTTAACGTAGAGTTTGTATGGCCTTTTATTTATTGCAAATTTATATGTTCTTTTTTCAATTTCTGGTTTTGGTTTCTCATGGAATAGCCCCCATTTTAAACTAAAATGTGGGGTTATTATTGGGGATGGTTCAGATTAGTCGGGGTATGTGCTAGTATTTTTTGGACAATGCTCTCGGCATCGTTGTTGGCCGTCCCATAAGCCCGGGAACCACTCATTACGGACTTCTCAAGCCTGTAGTATGTTTTACATATTAAATATCTGTCCGCCGCTGAAAATGAATTTGAATGACACATTCTATGTTAAAGTTAAAGCTTGGCACCTCCCCTAGCCTAAACAAATTGAGGACATGTGGATGTCCTTCCCAAGCCTAGACCTATTGAGTCCCAGCAGTAGAAAAAATATTTAAATACATGTATGCCGAAGACACGATCAACAATCTCCAAGAAGAAGAAGACAACAGGGCCAATCAAATCGAAAGCAGCGACACCGGCAGCAGTTATGGAGACGCCTTCTAGTTCTATTTCTACTAATAGTACATCTAGGCCTACAGAAGTTCAGATCCAGGAGGGCCACACCAGTGACAGCATGTCTCCAACTCAGCCAGCTTTAATACCTGTTATAAGTTCTTTACCTTCTGGTAATATTTTTGATTCAATTCAACCAGTAGTAAAGCAGAAAATTATCAACGGCTATTATGTGGACCTTTGTCAACTCCTCAGTAGGCCCCTGCAGCCTACTGAGGAGTTGACAAAGATCCACATAATAGCCGGTCTTTATTTATTCTGAGGGTCATTTGAAACTACAACCCAAACCCCCTGGCGCTGCCATCAAAGACATAGGCCAGTGGACAGACGTCTTTATTGTTTACATTAGTTTATACCTAACCGCCCATCCACAGGCTGTCCAGGGCTTATTAAAATATATGCATTTGATTCGTCTTGGCTTGCAGCGTGTTACAGGTCTTGAATGGAAATCTTACGACGAACAGTATGGGAAAAAGGGCTACTGGGGAGAAGTAGACCAAGAGCTATGACGTCTAAACCGTTTGCAACTGGAACACTGGGGAGTTCCTCGCAACAAAAACAGCTGAAAAAATCACTGAATCTGTTAGGTATGGATGATATCCCTTACAAATCGCATTTTTTTCGGATCGGGGCGGCTACCACAGCGTCACTACTCGGTTTCTCTGGTGATCAAATTAAAGAACTTGGGCGTTGGATATCCCGTTCATTCAGTGCCTACATCAGAATTCCAACAAAGAAAATGAGTTATTATCGTGTGGCTACTTGAATGTGTATCGTATGTGTTATATAATTAGAATTTTGCTGTTACTAAACCTTGTCTTAATCAAGTTTTCTAAAGTTTCAAATGTATAAGGTTTCGAATTTGGATAGTTGGTTCGTCGTTGATAAAGGAAGCTTTTCTTAGAGCTATTTCCTCTTACCAGGGCAGTCAGCTAGGCCTGAGTCGTATTCATGCTTTTGTATGGTGGCAGGAAAAGAGAGGAATGGTCTGGAAACAGCTCCTTCGACGCCTTCAAGGTTATTCGCTCCAACTTCGTTTTAAAATGATGGAAAACATAAGGCAAATTAACCAGCTTCATCCGGATACATTTATTGTGTGGTCGCAAATTTTACGACAACTAATATGCAGGGGTGAGCTTGAAAATAAGGCAGTTGAACGGGCGCGTTTAAGGGTGAATAGGGAGTTGGCTAAAGTTGTTTTAAACTTGGGGGGGGGGGGGTATATAAGTTACCCTGGCATAGGCCATTCCAATCCCTACCTTTTCCGCACCGATGGTACCCATTTAACACCTTTGGGCTATGATATATTTTTACATGCTATTCAAGTGTATCTGAACAGCTATTTATCCAGTTATTAGTAGTTTGTTATATAGGGTCACGGCTGTTAATTAATTTAATAGGGAAGCGGTGTTGGCGGTGTCAAGATCTCCTTTTCTCGAATCTTTCCGTGTGGCGGATTATGGGCAACACCACTACCGCGTATTTATAAGCGTAATTTAGTTAGTGATAATGACGGGGTCAAGTACTCTTTGCTAAAAAATCTGCCAGAAAATGCTTCGAAAGTCGTCCTTGACCTCTTTAACCTCTCTTGGCGGAAAAGTGAGATACCCTGTCTGTGGCGTACGGCTACGGTGGTTGCAATCCCTAAAATGGGAAAAAACCCAAATGAAACGGAGTCTTATCGCCCGATAAGCCTCACCTCTACGCTTTGCAAAACTCTTGAAACCCTGGTGAACGATAGGTTAACATACTACCTAGAGAGTAACCAGCTACTAGACAAGAACCAGAGCGGTTTCTGCCGAGGCCGCTCGACATACGACAACATTGCCAGACTTCAGCATGCCATGGTGACAGCCACGAGAGGCGGATCCTACCTCTGTGTCATCTTTATTGATCTGTCAAAAGCCTTCGATCTTGTCTGGACAGAAGGACTGTTACACAAACTATCCTTGGTGGGCGTGCATGGCAACATGTACAACTGGATCAAGAGTTTTGTCTCAGACAGACAAATCAGGGTTACAATCGGCAAATACCTTAGTAAAGAGACCGGACTGGAGAACGACATCAAAAAATATCTCGGAAAAGATATTTCGCCCTCTACGTTCGCGGACGATAGCACCCTATGGACAAAGGGAAGTCTATATTCGCAGGTCCAGAAACGTATGCAAGGCGCCTTGGACGGGTTCACCTCTTTGGCAAATGATTGGGGATTCCAGATCTCGTCACTCAAAACTGTAGGTATGCTTGTATGCAGGGGCCCCGAGGTTTCCCGGGTGTCCCTGCAGCTCAATGGTCAGTACATAGAATTCAAAGACGAAACCAAGTTCCTTGGTGTAATCTTTGATAGGAAAGTGACATGGAGACCGCATATCAAATATGTAGTAACACGTACTCAGCGCATCTTGAACCTTATGAGGAAGATAACGGAACATGAATGGGGAGCGAACCGAGTTGTCCTCATAATGATTTACCGTTCTCTAAAACGTCCTGTATTAGATTACGGCTGCATGGCCTTCTTAAATGCAAGACCCGTTACACTAAGCAAGTTGGACACCATACAATACAAAGCCATTTGTATTGCCACAAGCTGTGGCCTAGGTGCCAAGCGTGCGTCGTTACTACAGGACGTTGGCGAACTCCCTCTGTCACTACAAAGGAAGAAACTGGCCTTGGGGCATTGGGCCAAACTTAGCCGATTGGGGGAAAGGTGTCCAGCCTTCAACGAAATCTCGAGGTTCAAAAGAGTCGGGGATACCACCAAGAAGTCATACGGCCAGGCAGTCTCGATAAGTTCACCATTAATGGTATGGATGATACGATTAGGGCCCTTTGGACCCTCTCAGTACCCCCGGTAGATACCACCCTCGTCCAGAGGGTAGACAAAGGGAATAACCCATTGGCGGCCAAGCATCTCTCCTTAGCTCATATCGAGGATAATTGGTCAAAATGGACTCACATATACACGGACGGATCGCAAAACCCCGAGAACGGTACGACGGACTTCGGGATTTATATCCCGGGGGAAGAGTTACAGGTAGTATAGACTGCCAAATATGTGCTCTGTGTACACATCGGAGATGTATGCGATCAAAGAAGCCGTAGTGTGGATATCCAGCCAAAGAAATCTAAACTATGTTGTCCTCAGCGGCTCGCTAAGTAGTCTGGAATCCATAAGAAATTAGAGATCAGACGCCCGTCCCGAACTACTGACCAAGATCTACCTAGCGTACGAAAAGTCTCTGGCAAAGGGCAACCAGATAGTATTGACATGGGTCCCGTCGCACATTTACCTTAAGGGGAACGAAGAGGCGGACAGGCTAGCCCTAAAGGGGTCACAATTGGAGGAACCTAGTGTGGAGCTCCCTTATAGCATGAACAAATTTAAAAGTATGGTCGAGTTACGCGTCAGCTCTGAATGGGAAAACTTCCTTCCGGAACTCGACACCTTTAGATTCAGATCCGATGAGTCCTTAAATGCTAAGTTATCAGTAAATCATCCCAGCAGAAAAATCTGCCGGTTAATAACAAAGCTGAAGGTGAAAGAAACGCTCAGATATCATACATTTAAGCCTATAAGGTGCAGTTGTGGCTCGGGCGTGTCTCCTTCTCATATTCTGGTAGACTGTGCTTGCATCACAGCCGAAAGTAAACCCCTCACGGATAAACTGAGTTCCCTTAACACGGCTCTCAGTGTTCCGAACTTACTGTATCCAAAAGTAAGCAAACACGAAATCTATGAGTTAATCTACGAATTCCTGTGTGAGATCGGTATTCTAGATATGATGATGTGACCTCGCAGGGACGAAAATAGTGTTCTACTCTGTGAAGATTTGGGGGCCCACCCCAAGACCCAACGGACGGGATCCATAAGTGATCATCCCGAGGGCTACTGCTAGTCGAACGCTCCTACGTGAAGGGACGTCGGGTACCGTGTGGAGGGCCGTTTTCTGTTTTAGTTCCAAGGCCTATGGCATTTCAATGCCTGGGGCCCGACTGACAGTCCTACCTACCCCTACCCACCCAAAAAGGTTAGAGCATCTATGCACCCTACATCTAGGTCGGACAGGCGGCGGGCCCGGCTGACCGTCAGACCAACCTACCTACCCAAATCAAGATCGTAGCATTAATGGCCAAGCGGGCCAGACTGTGCCCGCTCGCCATCCTTCCTTTTCTAC